GATGTACTGTATGTTCAGAGTAATAAAAAGATTAATGTATCCAAAGATTCATTTGCATTAACTATTCTCATCATTTTTTCGAAACATCACGTCCCAAAATCTGAAATTCAAAATCAAATTCAAATGAATTCAACCTCATAAAATAGCCCAAGACCTAAAACTCAACTGGATGAATATTATTAAATCAACAGCTTTCTGCAAGCAATGGAAAACAATCTCAGTCAAACTACATTATATAACTAGCAAACTTTTTTATTAATTTTCTGATTATGATACAAAACTCTTTTCTGCTTCTGGTAGACTATTTTGCAAGTGTTTATTAACTTAGAAGCACTGGGTATAAACGTATTGATTTCAAGTCAGATTTAACAAAATAGAATCCGTTTTCTGGTGTGTTACTGTTATTGATATAAAAATTTCTTTCACAGGAGGATTTTGTTTCAAAGAAGTTGTAGTCTGTTTCTTCTGGAAATGAAAGGGGCATGTAGTATGGCTTCAAAAGCTTCAAAAACTTAAGTTCATATTTATATTTATTCCTTGCATGGGAAAATAAAAACAAGAAAGAAAAAGTAAAAAATAGCAAATTACTATCAACATGTTTAGCACCTGCAACAACTTGACTTTGGATGTAAACTTCTCTGGAAATATACAACTGCCACTGATCCAACATGAAAATAATGTATATGTACTCTTTCTTAAAATAACTTAATTTTTCTTACACAGTGTGACAATTCTTTGGGCCAACAAAAAATACTGACAAGGAGAGTGTCAGACAAAACACTTCTTACCTGAATGGTTTGAATATAACTTTTTTACATCAATGTTACATTTAAAACACAATGAAAAGGCAATTTGAATAGACATTTTTCAGGTACTGAACATCACCCATTCCTCCTATTGCCAGTCAGCAAAACCTATTAAGTTTCACTTTGCTTGCTTTGTTGTTATCCATGTTTTCAGAGAAGTATCCAACATGAAACCAATTATAACCCTGGTGCTAACTGGCAATTCTATTAAAAACAATTAGCTTCCATGAATGGTAATCAAAACATCAATTATCTCATTTCAGGAATGTCATCCAAAGCACTTCAGAACTAATGGATGTGGGGTTTTGTTCCCAGCTGAGTGTGTCACATATTGTACACAGTGCAAAAATACAAACACTATTTCCACTTTTTTTGTCTTCCATTCATCACTAAATACCAGAGCATTTTAGGCACTATCATTTGACTTCTTAACTCACTGGTTAAACCAGACATTACCCCTCAAAACCTTCATTTTCACAGCAGAGCACAAGCTTCTACTTTTTAATTATCAGATTTCCTTTTTTTTTTACTATCAGCATTTGAAACCAAAGTCAAAATCAAATAAAATTTCAACAGTTTTTGTGCTGCATTCAAATCCAAAGAGCTACTTGAGAAATAATTTCTGCCAAGCATCCTATTCTTAAAGTTCAAAACTATCGGCAGCATTAAAGAGCAAAAAACAATTTCTATAAAAAATCTTTGATTTGTTACTGCATACTAATTCTGTTTTTCATTTAATATCTGAGGACACCATACACAGCTCCAAAGTCTTTTAAATGTAGTTATAGGAGTACTAGGATCTGGAAGACAATCACAACACACCTCTTCATGAATTTCATGAATAACGTTACACTGAAAACAAGATAAAACAAACATTGTTTTCCATCACTCAATGTGGTCTGCCCATACAAACTTGGATTCAATTTATTTGAAGCCAGGATTCAAGAAAAAAAAACAATGAAGAGGGATTAATTCAATGCAATTCTGAATACAGAACAAAAACAGCTGGCATTTTCCCTTGTCTGATATTTGTATTTTAATTATTGGACTACAGTTAAATCTTAGACATAGTTGTTTTTTCTTCTCGCTCATCTACAATCAGTATTAAGTCAACACCTTAACCAATAACAAAAGATAATTTAATTAGAGGACACAGTCCTGTTTAAATACCTGGACGTCTGGGAGAAGACATGCATGATTTTCACTTTGCCTAACAGACATCTAACACAAGAAACATATTTAGATCTACCAGTTCCTTGAAAATCTCAATTCCGTGTGTTTCTGTGAGTCAGATGTATCATTTTCATTTGTCTGTTTTCTAGTCCTTATGGGATTTTGATAGAAGCTGCAACCATAATGCTATTCACCAAAAAGTTTTGTTCTCTGTTTTTGTACACAGTGATGCAGGTTATTCCCTTTTCCTTCCGTTATGCAGCCTTGGGGCAGAATATGCCGGTGGCCATTAAGACCACAGGCAGAAAGCAATAGTGTACCTCTGGCTGTGCTGGAGTTGTGGTCAATATTCTATTATGCTTCAGTTCAGAATTTGTTATCTCATGCCTCTTCATTTTGGATGTCCCCCCATGTAATGTCACCCTGTAAACCTTGAAGTAACTAGAAAATGAGGCCAACAATGACCCCTGCTGAACAGCTGATACATTACATCTCACTGGAAAAAACAAGCAAACAAATGCACTCATTGTTAATTCGGCAGAAACAGCCAAGATGCTGATCAAAATCAAGGTTTCTAAAAAAATTACAGAAATAAGTTGATAAAGACAATACCTTTGTATATTTTCTGACTTTTAACAATTTGGAGTAGAAACATACAATATTTAAATGACCAATCAGCTGTATTAAAATCAAGTTATGGTTAATAGGAAGCCTTAGAAATATTCAGCTAGGAATGAAAAGCCAAGGTCAAAGGTTATTCATCTTGAGGTCTTACTTTTTGATTTTTAGATGTAAGAAGGTGCACATGAAAAAGAAAACTGTAGCTGGTCTCAGATGAATTCATTTTGATTTAACACATGCATGAGAAACTGGACAAATAATGTCTCAAAGCATGTCTCTTCCTTTCCCCCTCAAGAATAAAGAGCAGTCATTAAATTAGACATCCAGGTATGACCATCTCAGTTTGTCTGTTTTTCAGAGTATCAGTCCTGAACCTTTGCTTGACAAATCATTTCTGTAGTGATTGAAGCATGAAGGTTACACAAGCTAAAACTTTTAGACAGTTGATGTCAAGGAAAGAGAAGGAAAAATATGTTCCCAGGAGTTTCTTGAACTCAGAGGCTTTTCATGATTGAAACCTCTGGAGTAAACATTGCTGAACATGCATCTTTTGTAGCAAATGCAGGTCAACTATTGCTGAAGGCAGGCACGGTGCACACATAACGCAAGGTGACAAACAACTCTGACTCAAAATGTTTTAAACTGGTGAGTTTCAAATGAAATGGTACAAAATGAATGAATATGAGGCCTTAGGTGTAAGTTACCTATGGCTTCTGCACACATCTCCTCTACTTTGGATTTCCAACACCCAGCATCATCAGCTTTTATTAAGATAGAAACAAGTGCTCTGTATTCACTTCAAAAATAAATCCATGAAAACGGAGCAAAAAGTGAAAAGGAAGACTGGATTAAGATGACAAAGCACCATTTTAAAAATATGCATGAGTAACTCTACCTTGACAACATACTGTATACTGCATACAGTGGCCATCAAAAATATTCACCCCACTTAGACAATTTTTACAGTTTATTGTGTTACAAATGAAATCATGATGTATTCAACTGGGAGGGTTATTGATTGACAGAAAACACTCTTTGATGTCAAAGTGAAAATAAAAATCTATGGATCCTACTAATTATAAATATTAAACAGAAAATAAGCGATTGCATAAGTATTCGCCCCCTTTACTATGACACACCTAATGAAGGTCTGGTGCAAACAAATGTCTTTAGAATTCACTGCATCCAAATATTATTTAAAATAATAAAACTTTTTGGACTTTGAATTTTTACCAATATGTTATTGATTTCTTTTTTCTTTTCGTTATCAAGTACAAAATTAGACAAAACAGCAATACAGATTTGTTCAAGACCCTGAATATATTCAGTAGAATACAGTACATTGTACTGTATGGTTGATTCAGCACTGCAGCCCTTTCAACTACAGCTACAAGATCACAGTAGTCTACAAGACTGAAAACTAGCAATAACAAAGGCTTTTTTATCCATTTCCTTTGAGATATCCAGCTTATGTAACTTAGTCATTATGAAATGTCTTTTTGACATTGTGAAATTCTTTGCACTGTTTTTTTCAGAGATCAAAATCATTTCACGTCTCATATTTTACTGCATAATATTTAGAAAAAAACTTACTGAATAAGAAATAATTCTTTTTTTTCAAGCAATAGAAGTCTTAAATGTACTTTGTTTTGTATATTCGTTGCACATAGATTTGCTTTCCAAGGAAGAACTAGTGAAATGTTTTTAAACAAAAACACATCTTGCATATTATTACATGTGCTTTCATTTATCAAGGAGGAATTTTATTTCTAATTGCGATGAAAAGAAAAGGAAGTAAATACAAATAATACAAACAGCTGGAATTACCCTGATGTTATATATTGTTATTATGACCCTTTAACAAAACATTTTGCTGGGCATAAGGAGCTTTTATTCAATCAAACTGGTTGGAATCTTTAAAAAACAATTCAAGCAATGTGAAAAAATGCAACTACAGGATTTAAAATCAGAAGCCGTGAGCGGCTAGAACTAGTGTTATACCGTAAAACAGTAAAACAAGATTTTTTACTATTACCTGATTAGTTTTATATAAAAAGTCATTGTGTAGGGTTCTCCCAAAAAGTATTAAAAGTAATTTGTCTTCTTCATCATTTCCGAATAGCAAATAAATTGTAAAATTCTCTCTCTGAGTTTTATGCCAGGCACTGCACTAACAATCCGAAGGACAAATATGAAATATCTCAATAACATTCAGAACCATGAGGGACCAAAGAATAATATTTAATCACTTTTCAAATGGAAACACTGAAGGAAGTGTTTCTGTTAGAATAACCTAAACACAGCACCATGAAAAAAGAAACAGAGGGTAGAGCCATAAAGAAAATGGTGTCTTCTTTCAGTACAGCAGCACAGGATTAAAGTGTTTTAACATTTACTCACAGGTCAGACAGACAAGTAGAGCTCGTACTGCAAACTCGCATGGCCCTCTCCACTTCTCTCTCACCTGCGACCTGAACGCAGGGAGGATTATCTCCGCCGGTACAAAAAATTGGATTGAGTAGGTCACAAAAACCCCAAAGGAGTAGAGAACTTTCACCAACTGGTTGGTCCTACAATGGGAAAAAAAAATAATATGAGACTTGTGTACCCATTTCAAAAGCCTGCTTATACTTGGTTTTCATATTAACTTTTAGCTGCCTCAATGCATACTTTATTCAATTAACCCCAACACCAGTTCATTTTATTCAGACCAATGCAGACTTACCGCATTTTATTTTCAACAGAACTCAAAGGACAAACAAAAACTACTGCTGAATGTGTGTCTTCATTAGAAATTTTCTTTCAAATCTGTTCCAGGCGTAGGCAGCTCCAGTCCTTGCACTTGTTTCTGGTTTAATTCCAAACTTAATTGCCTAAAAATACTGTAAGTTAAATCAACTGTACTTTCCAGGAGTTTAAATCATAGTTGCCTCTAAAACCTATGGGAAAATGTTACACATGAAGTGAAGTTGCCTGCTTTAAGATTCTGATTCTGTGTCACACAACCTCTTGTGGATCAGTAATATGCTAATAGTGTACAGTTCAAGAGCTTTAGATTTAAGTGCAAAAGACTCCCACTCAATAAATATCAAAAAGGGAGTTGTAAATATAACATCATCATTGTACAATCCAACAATGAAACAGACAAAAGTGGTCAATTTAATTAATACTGTAAAAATACACAACAAAAATAAAGAGCTCTCGGTGGGCCTGTCCAGCATTAAGATAACAGAGTTAATTTACATATGCATATCTTTAACTCAGTGCAAGCAGCCGGCTGATTTGTATGGGTGGTACAATTTGGTTTCAGGGATCATTTTGGTTATTATAGTTGGATGTCATCATGCAGCACTTTTGTTGCAGTTCTAAACCAGTCAAGACAATTCATGCTTTTGTCAAAAACAGTTCCCAGCCATTTCAAAACCTACTGCTTAGACATTTCTGCCATAACATGAAGATTTATAACCAGTTCCTGAAAATAAACTGAATTGTCACAGGGCTCCCTAGGTAAGAAAGACAATTAAAATCTAAACAAATCAAAGTCATAAAAATAACAAAGAGATACAGAAATGCCATAAAAAATTAACATTTAACAAATTTCCCTTATGGCACACTATCTAGTCAAAAAAACGGATTTATGATGAAATAATCTGTCTTATTAAATTTGTGGTTGATATTAATATTTTTTAGGTAAAATATGAATCACAAATTAAGACTAATATAGCATTTTCTACTCTCAGTTTCTGAAGAATTTCACATTTGTCATATCCACTGGGTTTTTGCAAGTTCATTACCATTACAAAATTATAACTATATTATAGACGATTCAGTTATTGTTCTGTGGAACTGCTGTATAAGCCTTCATCTTAATAAAAGAATAACTCTCCACAGAAAAGTACAAATATGATCTGACTTCAAAATGCTGTTGTTTATCTCTTTAATAGCTTGAAATGTTTTCATCTCTACTAAATAAGTGTTGGTTTTGAATATTTATTCTTCTAGTATTTAAAGCATTTTGGATGTTTTTGAGCTTCCAACATTTGAGAAAGAGAACACTGCACACTGCACTTGCAAAGAGCTTGAAGAATTCAACCAAATACTGTAATTACAGGGCTAGAACATACATAGGCTACACGTGGAGAGGTTAAAATAGATACATCTCTTGAACAAAGAACATTTGGCCATTCAAACCTTTCCTGAATGCAAATGAGAATGTCATATTGTCAACACAAAATATCACTTTGACTTCCAGACACTAGACCAAGGGACAAAAGGACTTTACAAAAAGAGCTGAACAAGACCAAATCATGATGAAGTTTAAACCAACAAGATGAGAAAGACTGGTTGAATATTACTATTTTTCTTTCCATTAGCAAAGCTATTTCCGACCATCATTTATTCAAATGTCTTACCATCAGATGTATGTTTTCACCATGTCAAAAATGCCACAGAGCATAGGCTGTATTAAACTGGGATCCACTGTGTCCAGTACAATGTGAGAGTAAAAAATGACTGATGTTAAGAGATGGACCTGCTGCTATTGCCGATTTAGATGAAAGCCATAAAACACAAACTATCCATCCATTTTGTCATCGCTTCATCCAATTTAGGGTTCTGGGGGAGTCAGAGGCAACCTCAGCAAGCAGGGTGCCAGGCGGGATACACCCTGGACATGTCACCAGTCCATTGCAGGGCACACAGAGGCACACTAACACCCTGGCCACTTTTCCAAGTAAGCAGTTAACCTACTATACCAGAATGTTTTTGGACTGTGGGAGGAAACCAGAACACTGAGAGGAAGCCCATGAGAACAGGAAGAACATACAAATTCCGTGCAGACAAATCCCCTAGGTCTGGAATTGAATCCAGGGCCTCCCACAACAAACTATCAAAATGCAATTAAAATGCAGCACTAGCTAGTTTATTATGAAAGCCTGACATGGAAAACTGTTTTCCATAAACTCTGCTTTACAGCTACATAGTCAGCATTAACGGTAGATCATCATCCAATTATGGTTTACTGCCATCTTCCAAAACTATAAAAGGAATCTATTGAAAAGGATTAATAGAGGTTATGAAAAACAGCTACCAATAACTGGCATCTGCAAAAGCATTAGTAGTAACAAGACATAATGTTATCTTTACTGCATTTCACGAAAAGAAAACCAATTCAAACATAATGGTTCACACAATCAAATCTGTACTAACACCAAGGGGGAAAAGATGGAGCTGCAAAAAAGTGCCACAAGATAATCTACACTTTGTCACTTCATTTCACCATTGATTGATTTAAACTGCAAGGTACTATAGAGTATGTCCCAGTTTTACAAAGGTGAAGTTAGATAAGTGCAGAAAACAAGGTCATCTTCTATAATCAGAATTTCAGCTTTCAGAACTAATAAATATGAAAGAATTTGTGCTTATGAAGTTAGTCGACCTATTTAGATGTCACCATAAAAACTGTGAACTGTGGAACAGTGAAATCCACTGAATACTCAAATAATAAGCATGGGAAACATGTATTACTGCCCTCTTGAACACTTCCATACATGCGTCCAGCACATCATACACAAGCTTAAATGAAATGCCTTCTAGTGTGTTCTGCCATTGTCCATGGGAATCTGTCCTATAGTCCGTTATGGATGTGGACTCATCTGGCAGTTTTCATGATACAGTTGTTTGCTAAGATCTTAAGAAACTTTATAAGCTTTCATTTATATACACCATCCAATACAAACAGACTGGATACAGCCAATATGGTTATATCATGTGAGAGGGCATTTCATTCAGACTGATGTATTATTCTTTCTTCTATTCATTTTATCCCAAATGCAAAAGTCTTTTACTTTGTTCAGTATCTGTGTCATGATGGCAACCAGTTATTTTTGCACAGCAGCTTTGATACATAGACTATATTTCTCTTTTCCATTTCACCAAGCAAACAAATATTTGCACCCTTAAGCTGTACTGAAGAGTTGATTTATTGTGCTCCATTTATAAACCTGGAATACAGAATGGCTGTATTTTGTCACAAAGGCCTTGAAATGGCAACAACTTAGGTTTTAAAATCATCCACTAACCTGAGGGCAGATGAAATATACGACTTTTTTATTTGTGACACGTACTTTTGTGTCTGGAATACATACATGTACATCACAATAACTTGTAGTCTTCATTTGTAAGAAAATATATTCCTAGTAAATGCACTTTTAACATTGGCAGCTAGGGAGAGAAAAGTTTCCTCTAAGAAAGCTAAACTTTACACTGTGGACCAAGTAGGGAGTTGCATCATTGTGCAGGCAGCAAAGGAGCAAGCTGAGGTTAATTTTATACTGAAAATCAGAAAAAAAGAAAAGACATGTTTCAGCTGTTGAGCTTCCTTCAGGTGTGAGAGAGAGAGAAAATGTGCAGGAATATAAAGCAAAGTAGAACAAAAGACGAGCTTTCATTCCTCAGATTTCTATTTGTTAGAATCCGTTTTCTCACCTGCTGTGCCCATTCTCATACACTTTCCTTTTGCTCTCCTTTGTTACATTTCCTAGAACTTCTCTCTCACATCTAAAGAAGGCTACAAGGCCAAAATATTTTTTTTCTTTCCATCTGCTTCTCAGCATGGAACTAATCTCTACTTGCTCTGCTACGTCTGTTAGACTTTACCAAAGAGGCCTGTTTTCCATTTACTGAACATGACTATCTGCCATAAAATTAGGGATGTACAGTAACAAAACTTCTGCCAAGTGATACTTAGATTCATTCACATTAATCTGGTAAAAAATAGTTACACATAATCCTTGATCTTTTTGTTGAAAAATGGAAGCACAAACTGGTTTACTGCAGGAGTATCTATTGTGTAGTTATTAGGTGAAATGGTCATTAGTTTTCTGTATCACCTGAAAAAGTTACTTAAAATGTCTTAAAATATAACCTAAAATACAGTGCAATGCAAATTATAAGGCTACAATTAACTCAGAGAAATACAGCAGGTAAAGTCTAACATTTTTGAATAATAAGCAACTCTCAAAATAAATGTTACATAACAAAGACAACTAAATGACTCAATTTACATGAGAAAAATCATTTCTCAAATACAAGTAATAGCAGGCGCACAATACATCATTAAGCACTATTCTACTTTCTGAGTATTTTAAGTCTGAGTTTTAATCAGACTTTCAAGGACAACCATAGAGATACAAATGAAGACATGACATTTATTAAATGTGAAAGCCTAAACATTGGTAATGAAATCTGCAAAGCTACGAATCTCCGGTCACCTGCAAATTTCATGCAAGACACCCCTCTAATCATATTATTGCTAAATGATTGATTCACTTTGTCCTACAGCTTTATCAATTAAACATTCTCCTAGTTCTCAAGCTGACAAAATCCCTCTATAATCGAACTTTCTGCAAGGAAGAGGTTGAACATAGGTATAGGAAAGGACAATAAATAATCCCCAAAACCAAAAGTGTCTGTTCTCTGTCAGAGCTCAAGTACATATACTCTCCGGAGCCTGAACCACTGTCTTCCCCTTCATTCACAATCACTTATCTCACTTAGTCACATGAGGATCTCAGGAGGACGAGATGTCACAATGCTGCAGTTCTTTGCTTTTGCTTCTTTTTCACTTTGACATTTTACTTTTTTTCATGTCACTCCACTGTAAACCAAAGAGATCTGTAAATTGAAATAACCCCTGAGACATGAAAAGCAGTGTGATTAATTTTAATTTGTAACAGGTTACACACTATCCAGACCTGAAAAAAGTCCCACCTAAGTACTGTACTTCTTTACCCAGAGCAACCTTTTCTTTTTGTCCATATCTCCTTGTTGATCTTATGAATCTCCTTTATACAACCTCTACCCTCAATTCTCCATCTCTATCAAGGAGCTATGTGGTTTGTTCTTGACATTTCAATAACACCTCTGCTGCCTCGAAGGCATGGTTAAAGATGTGCATCCTAACAATGGAGAGCTCCATCGTGGCATCTGTGAATGAATATATTTATATATTTTGCCAGGACAACATTTTTAGGTGCAAACAATACTGTGATAGTTTAAGACACAAAATATAAAAATAATAATTGGTGGTTAGAAGTTTTCTTGAATACAGACATTTAATGTATGCCGCAAAAAAATTCACCTACACATTTATCTTACCATTCCTATTTTTCTTTCCTGTAGGTTAAAGTCCTTAGGGCCTTAGGACTATCATGATTGACAGTGTCATACTACACATTATGTACTGTACATGATGATTTTAAGTTGCTTTTCCTCACTGATGTACTTAATTTCATTTATATCAATGCTTTGATAGTTAAATTCAATTAACTTGTTTTGAAAATTGCATTAAGCAAATTACTCACCACAACAGGTGAGAAGTACAAATGATTTACTAAATTCTATGTGCTAATTGCTTTAAAAAAGTTTAAAACGGCATAAACAGTGTGCTGAAAGATGAATAAAGTGTGAAACTTTTGTTCGGTGTTCGGTGTGACCAATGACATTAATTTCGAGTCTTTCACACGCATTTTTGCTTTCTTTCTTGTATCATTTGAAGTGTCATCAAACAAGTGAACAAGAAAGCAAAAGTATAAAGCTGATGGAGTCTTCAGGGGTCATTCCCTCATAAATTTAGGGGCACTGTCTCACGTTTTAATTGAACTCATTACCTAAGGTGTTCCATATTGAAAATCCAACTGCAAAATCATTTCTATGAGTGTGATTATCTCAAAGTTATAGAAGGTCACAGTTTTAGGTTTTAAGTGGATCAACTGACATTCAAAGTACTAAATCTTTAAAATCCACTCGAGCTACAGACGTGACTTTTGTGTAATTTTGTAGCAAATTGCTTGGCCATTTATGTCATAAAATTCAAATTCTTAAGACATGAGCAAGGCTATTGTAATCAGAAACTTTGAGATCTTTGATAAAAAAGTTAATTAGCATCCCAAATTACTCTAGTTTTTAAATGACATTTTGGTATTGAAAGTGGTCGTGGAACAACCGATCTAGAAAACTCATCATCATTCATCTATCTAAACACTCAGACTCAGCACTCACTGGCTACATTTACAACAAACATCAATTACATTCCACATGCAAGATGGGTCTAAGATATTTGCCACAAGATAATTATTTATATCTTAATATATGTTTATTACTTTACAGAGCAAGAAAAACCAAATGGAACGAACATAAACAGAAAGAAACTGCTATTGTCTAGACCTTTAGACTACTATTATTGTCTGGACAAAACAGAAAACCCCAAAAACGTAAGAATACTAAAAAGTCACATACTGTACGACACCTCCAGTAAAAAGTTCTCATATGACAAAGTTTTTTTCTTTCTTAATGTTAACAACAACCTCATAAACAATGATTTCTAATCCACGTTAATGAACAGAAGAGAGTACAAAAAAAATAAGAAAAAGATTGACAGCATTTTTTAAAGCTTTATGGTAGCCACTGAAGCATTTTTTCTATACATCACTTACAATATTATTTAGAAAAGACCAGATATAATTCCCCTGTCACTTTGCAGTAGAAAGCACTGTGATATACTGGTCAATCACTTTTGTGATGCTCTCATTTGTAAAACACAGACCTCTGATCCTTGTCTTGTTACTCAGAATATCCACTGCCTAGTTAACCTAATTTTTCCATAAAGTTTTGAGCCCCTGGTGGAGGGAATGGCAAATCAGAAATAACAACGTAAACATGTCATCTATAAGCAATAACGGCACTTCACTGCTTTGAAGTGATTTTAGTTTAGTTTTGAAAGCAAGTCTGATGTTTAACTCAGAGCTAAGGTTAGTTAATAAGCTATTTGTTGTTTGCATGTACATAAAGTACTGTGTAAGCCTGTATATCAATTTTAGGACATACAAGTGGGAATTCATTCATATATGAACTAAAAAGAAGTGGCCCTAAAATTGATCTGTGAGGAACCCCATTATGACAGTCAACAAAAGAAGAATCCATATTAGCAATCCTAGTATACTCCTTTCTACCAGTTAAAAACTCAAAATCACCTTATTGAATTTGTAGAAAATGTAAGTATTGGAAGTTTAGAAAGGAGGATATCATGATCAACTGCATCAAATGCTTTTCTTATGTCTAAAAAATGGCCCCAACTACAAACCCCTTTAACACATTTGGACTTGATTTGTTAAGTGAAGTAACAATTTGCTGTCTCAAAGCAAACTGAGAGAGCAGTTAAACTACGTCAGATGGATCTCCTGTCTTCAAAACAGGTGTTAAAACAGCATATTTCCACTTATTTGGACATGTTCACTAGATTGTATAATTTGTGTGCCTAATACATATCTGTTCTTCTTAAGAAATGTAAAATCACAATCAAATATTACTTCAGCTTTTTGTTTTCTCCATTCCTGGAGTAAGTAAATCTGGATGCTGCACGGTTACTGAGCACCACCTGATTTAATGTACAAAAGACAATGCAAACACAAAATCAAAACGTAACAGATCCACACAAAGTCTTTAGCTGCGCACAGCATGTTCAAATTTCCATAATGTCAGATGATTGAAAAACATTCATCTGGAGAAGATTGTTCTCCAGATCCCAGTGGGAAGAGTAGTCTCTCACTACACCTGTGACCTTACTATCCTAAATATTAAACTTGGTTTATATGATCACTGCCTACAACACTTTACTCAAAGGTTTATCAGAACAACCCTTTAAAAGAAAGCGTGGTCACAGAATCCATGGGGATAAATAAACAAAAACAGTTCGATTGAACTTGATATAAATACATGTTCCCGACATTGTACAGCACTTACCATGCATTGTGAGGTAAGTTGAGTGTTATACTTCCTTTAATATCATCACCAAAATGGAGGTATCCAAACGTGGCTAGGGATATGTAGAGAAATGTAACAATTCCCATCCCTATGTTCAGTGCCTGTGGGAAGTGCTTGGTGTCTTTCATTTTGTTCTCCAATGGAAGCACCTGAAAAAAAGTTTTTTTTTAAAAAGTAAGTGAATGCAACAAACAGAAGGCAGAAACTCCAGACTACACTAAAAACGTACATATAAAGAATTACATAATGGGTGTTGGTTTGTCCCTGTAGTTTGCAAATGATTGACTCTTAACTCCATTAGAACTAGAGCTTCTAGCTTAATTTCTCATGCAATGATATGCTAACCATAAAAACTCTGACACTGCTGAAGGAATGATATAATTAGAAAATATTGTGATGCTCAGAGTTCATTAATATATAATGGTTTAGATTTATGACTATTGCAACCCTTCTAATGATTATGATATTTAAGGCTGTGATTACATTTTTTCTTTATTGCACTACAGTATATACTACAAAATGCAGATGTGCCATCCACTGAATGCAAATGCCCTCTGATTCAAGAACTATATAATGAGGCAGTAGCGTATGAATCCAAATTCAAAGCTAGACCTTCTAAATGAACACCTGCTGTACAGTATATTGGTCCTCCTGGGGTTTGCTAGGTAACATACGGTATACAGTAACATACAACATGGTAACACACTGCATGAATAACCCACACAGTTTTATTAACAAAAAACAGCAGATGTTTTTGAAGGATTTAAGAATTTATTTTGGTGCCCATGTACACAAACAGTATTCAGGACACCTAGCAAGGTAAAACATAACAAACAAAAAAGAGAAAGAAAAATCTAAATAATAATTGAACAGAAATAAAGATAGAGATAAAAAAACATGAAAAAGAGAAAAGGCAAACACTAATTAAAAGCCTGACTTAACAGATTTAGTGTAGTCCTATTTTGCCTTTTTGGAAATAATATCTATCAATTCAATAGTGAATTTAGGTATAAATTGTTTCAATAAACTTTGAAAATATGTAAAGGAGAAGCAGTTCTGAAAACCTCTTTTCATTTCTCTACATTCACTAGATACAAGTCCTTCTCTTATTGTTTTAATTAGCAAGACTAGACTAACAGTACAATTGGCTGCTTCACCATTTGCCAGAAAACATTGCCTGTAGGTTGCATCATCTGTCAAGTTCGCTGCATGCTAACAGACGTTTTAAAAGCTTTATTTAAATGTACTTCTTCTTTTCTGAGCAACTTTGTTACCATCTCTCATTACAACCACAGTGAATGAAAAGTCTGTGGAAATGGAAAATCACAACACTTTACCAATTGTTTTCTACTCAATGGCATATAAGGATATCTAGAAAAATAAGTACACAATGGGCATTTTGTTAGTTTCTCGGTTTGGTCAAACAACTGCATTGTGAAAAGTTTGAATTAAGGAGTAATGGGAGTTGGCACTGACAAAATCAACCCAGTTTTCATCTTCAGAATCAATGGTGAAACACGAAGCAGAAAGAAAAAGAAAGTAAAACTAATTGAAGTACATTTAAAAGTCATCCTAGAATAAATTAGCTGTTGGCAGCCAAACAAACTAGATGGGCCAAATGGTTGCTTCTTGCTTGTTACTTTTCTTATCTTCTTGTTTACAAAAGCAGTGTACCCACCTATCACTGCCCACATAACTTGCAGTTAGAAGGCCAGGGCTCTTAACACAACTGCACTCTGCCTCCCAGTGTCCTACACATTGTGAAGCCTTCTGCAGGCTCACACCTGAAGACTTCACAGCCGAAACATTGTGTTTTCTCTCTTCTCTTTTCAGCATGGAATAAACCTATTACTTGTTCCATTTCATTGTGTATTACCACAGTGGAAATGTACTGTAGCACCAAAATCAACCTAGTTCAACTGATGCACTGATCTTGTTTTCAATAAAGAATTTATAGCGCCTGGGGCATCATGGATAGATTTCTTAAAAAGTGCTAGAACTGTGGCCAGAATGTGTTGTCTAGAAATTATATCAAGATGTTTTTAAAACTTTTGAGGAAGCTGTCTGAATGCAATTCAGGGAAGCTACAATGCAGGCAGGAAATTCTTAGGTTATCAGGAAAAGCTTGATAGTGCTCAGGGGTGGAAGTCAAGACAATTGAGACAACATCCCAACTGCATTAAGGACAGAAATGCATATATCTGCGCCTGTTTAAAATGAAAAAAATGCACTTTTGATTAGAAAAGGAAATAAGTTTTCCCATAACGGTTTATTAACCTGATTGGAGACTTTGGGATGCACAAGCTATTCATTATTCATTAGTATAGCATTTTTGTTGTTGTTCTAAAACCTAGAAGGAAAGAAAGGCCATTTGTTTGATTTCCCAACAGGATAAGCATGTACCAAGACATGGATTGGCCTGTTTAGGAGAAACTGAAGAGACTCCTCAGGGAGGCAATTCCAATGAACACTGCACACAGACCACTAAAGTATCAACGGTTAGGTCTGAATGTTGCTGTCTGAGCTGGCAAACCAAACTGATAATCCTAATTTATCAACAAGCTACGTAAACTAAGTAGATATAATTAGTTCCCAGTGGACAACAGCCTTAAATCTAATTTTGTTGTTACCTTTATCAATCTTGGGTCTTTGTATTCTCTGTAAACAAAATTTTCATTTGAACATATTTAAACAAGGTAGCTCTTGCATGTATATTCACAAAGACACTGCTTCAGAAGAGTCCCTGCAGCTCTTTCTAAGAGGCAGCTACTTAAGGTAGCTACTTTCTTCTTTTAGCTGTTCTGAACACAAAACAAATGCTTGCAAAGCACACAGGCAAAATCAGGTCCACGTGCACCAGGTGAAAATAAAAAGTTAAAGAAATCCCACAGTGCATCAATATCTATACAAATTTACACAGATGGAAAAAAACAGCAGCACTAAAAATAAGATGGTAAGACAAGGTTTGCAGGTTACCAGTCATTAAGAACTATCATACCTGCATTATTGTAATTCCAACCAATACCTCATTCAATTAGATAAACTATAATGATTTCCAAATATTTTCAATAGAAGACAAAAATTCTTGAGGTAAGAAGTGTGCTTTATAATGTTAATTTAAAAATAAAATCCAAGTGATCTGATGTCTCCCAAACTCAAAACAAATGCTGAATAATATATTCAGATGATCAAAAACAACATGCAAATACTTCAAGAAATAAGTATTAAATTACAGGGATAAAAACACTAATTGCATAGCAACGTGGTTTAGGATTTACGGACTGCAAGGCTCTTTTAAAGATTGTAGAAATCTGAAGTTCTGTCCTGTGTAATGTAATGAAAAGGCCTCTATGACTGTTTCTTGACCAGACGTGGTAACCAGCATTAAAGATGTGGACGCCTGCCAGCACCAATTACAGGCTTATGACGATAATCCTCACTTATAATACTGGAATCAGTTATTGATGTAATTAGTCTTATCTGTAGCTATTTCCAAATCCTTAGTCACCGAGTAATCAGAGTTCCCTAAAAAACACAAGGACCAGGAACAGGAATGTCCATCTTATATACATGAACTTGAAGCTCAGAAAACAAAGTGGTTCAAGGTAAAACTTTCCATTCCTAACTTAATTACGAGATCCACTTAAAATCTTTTTTTTAAGATGAACGAAACAGCTGTTTATTCCTGAACTGAACATTCCTCTATTTCTCACATTTCAACATTATATACCTGGGCCCCAGGTATATAATTTCTAGTAGAAAAATAATCTACTAGACACAGAAGCCTGGCAGTGAAGTACAGTTAAAAAGGAGACACTGCAGATGTAATGAATGGCCTAGGAAAGGGTGAAACTTAACTGAAATCTGGTGAACCTAAACTCCAATACATGTAGTTTGTGCAGAATGCTGAGACAGGAATCTTATGGATCAAAGGGGAAAAGACATAACCATTCTAATTTAAAAGAAAGCTTAAAGGAGGAGAGTCTGATGAGGAATCGAAAAAAGCTCAGTAAGGAGACTAAAAATAAACTTGTGTTTAACTGAACAACTGACCTGTTGTGATCCTTATACAGTAGGTGTTGCAGATTTACCTGGGATTTGACAACCACAGAAATACCCTTTGAACGTGTAATTGTGTCAGTCAAAATAAATGTGTGCTCTACGCTAGTAGAGTCTTTACTTTGTATTGATTTGCCCCATTTAAAAAACGCATCTACATATATGAACATTCAGCACAAACTAAGACAATGAACAAATATGTTCAACTTAATAAGGAACTGTTATGGCCATTTCTCAACATGATAAAAAACATGCTTCATGCTTCGGCTTACGAGAAATCCACAACACCAAAATTGATGCTCCAGCCAGTCTGAAATCATTAAAAGGACATAAAAAAATGAAACATTAATTACTCAGGACGTAAGCTTCTACATTACATTTTACTTTAAATTACTAATAATATCTTACATATGCGTAGCTCTTTTCACCCCCAAAAATCCTAAAGTGCTGTATGTATAAAATTGAACTGCTTCATCCACCACTGAACAGCCATTCTGCGTCAGCAGTCCCACTACATGACAGGTCAAGTGAACAAGCATGAAAGTATTTCACCAATTAAAATAAGGGGGAGATTTTAGGGTGTCCAGATTATATAAACAATAAAACACCCCTTAAAATCCCTTCTTCATTTAAGTGGAACCCATTTGCAAACAATATATTCCAAAAGGTGCAAAAGATGAATCACAAGACAACAGAGCTGGAATTGAATTAAAATTCAAAAATTAAAAGCAAGCAGGAATCATCTGAAGGCATTTGATGCGAGGAATCACTTAACGCTTTTGTAAAGCAAAATTAAAAATTCTGAGAATGGAACAGATTCTGCTCCTATCACTGTCCCTGGGGCAATGAACTGATGTCAGAATTAAAGTAGTGTATAGTAAGTTCAAATGGCGTACGCTTGCTAACAGTATGACACATGCATCTAAAATTACTTTTGTGAAAGATTACAAAGGTTGAAGACGGAGAAGCACATGTGCCAACTTTATATTTTTATTTTATGTTCCCATACAATGGATGTAAATGAATTAAAAGAAATACCCAATGTCTAAAACATTTTAGATGTTTCTGCTTCTTAAATTCTGAAATGGTCATAACAATTTAATTTTTTATTTTTTCCATAATTTGTAGCTTTTTATTTGTCTTTTCACACCTTAAATTTGAATGGTGTTTCTCACAATGACCTTAAAGCTACTCGGTCAGTTATGCTATGGTTAATTAAAAGTTTGATATACTTTAAACACCCAAACTTTAAACTTTGATATACTTCAAACACCCAAAATGACAAGCAGAAAGTACTCAGCCTACAAAAAACAAAGACATCACAAGCAGTTTAGCAGTCAATCAAGATTTGGAAGAGAACAAAGGAACCCATTAGAGGAACTTTTCTCTCAGTAATTCTACTGGCAAACCTAATTACATACAGTACCTTGTTTCTGTAGTTCCATGAGGCATACATTTAGTACAGTACACTAGCATACAGTACATACATTCTGTTCTGCTTGAAAGAGATGAATGTACTGTATGTACAGTATGATAGTGTACTGTGGTACTAAAACATTAAGTTCTTTGTTCAATGTATGAAAATAACAATCACAACCGAGCTATTAGACGCATGCCCAGTGAACAGGACATCTGCAAGAATTTTGGTTAGCTGTGTAATATCAGCCAGCTGGAAAGTCAAAAGTACTGCCCTCCACTAGTCTTATTCATGAATACATTCACTTTAAATTATTTTTGCTCTGCATAAAAAAGATTGGGAATGGTTAACCTTCTCCTCAGATTTTAAACATTCAAAGCTAGGAAAGAATTAAAATTCCCAAGTGACCAGAATGACTGAGGAAGCATGAATGCTTTCTGTTAGTCCAGTTTTTACTCTGACCTAAAAATAACAAAAATAATTAATAAAGAATACAAAAACTATTTCATACTGCGTATTTAAAAGCAACCATCTCAACTTTTCAAATAATGCCATTTTAATTGCATATGTGTTTTTCTCCTTGAAGGAGCTTCGTTTTGACTTAGGATGAGTCAAGAACAGACTCTTTTAATCCTGACACCAGTCCAGCCTATTCAGTTCACAGTACCTGGAGTTACACTTTACTGACGGTGATCTAAACAAGTTCATCAGTCTCTCAGACAAACTTCAAGCAAGCCATTCACGGCCTCCAAAACCTGTGGGACATGGAACTAAAGAGCACTGAAAAACAAAGAGCTGAGAATCTCTATGAATGATATCTGTGGAGGTCAGGATACCAAGCACTTTCAAGTCAAGCCAACATTTGCAGCTTTGAGATCAAAGTTAGGAAAGAAAATCTCATTGCTATTTGGTTCCACAATAGAGTTTGCTTCACGGTCCAAAAAAGACAACATTACTGCCATCTATCAAAAGGTTAAAAAAAAGTTATCCACAAAACTATGTACCATAATAAAGCATCTATGCTTTTTTTCTAGCCCTCCAGCCCTTTGTGCAACATGATCACAATGTGAACCTGATCAATTCTATTTAAAAATATTTTGTGACAGGGAAATCCTATTGTTCACTCCTTGCTGAGAAATAAAAATTCAAAAGTTAATATTTTAAAAGTGGGAAGAGAAAAAAACCAAAACTGTGTGCACTTATTTTTTTTATGAATTGATTTATGTACATTCCCTTCTGTTTCAAGTGTTATTATCTAGAGGCTGTCAGGAAGCGTTTATCAGGACCCTATGCAGATGGCAGAATCCGGAAGGGAGTGCAACAAACTTGAGGAAAGAGGACTAGGAACGGGGCTGGTAGACGAACAGGGGGGCATGTCGACGGTGCACTGGTGCTCGGGGGGGCGTGGACCAAGCAAAAGTCCTAAGGGAGTCCGTAGGAAAATCCAGAGTGGGAGCAAAAGTCCAGAACCACTATTCCATCCAAGACAGAGGAGACAAAAATTTAAAAACCGGAGCGGGATCCGGCGAAAGGTCAGGGAAATAAAAAGGGGTAACGAGGCCAAGTGCTCCAAGCAGATGCTGTTGGGCCTCTTCCAGACTTGGTGGTAAGCAGGCTTTCAGGTGCCCATCTTCCAGAGCTGAGCCCAGAATGGTGGGAGCGTCTGGCTTTTAAAGGGAAGGGCTGGAACAGGAAGCAGGTGCACAAAATCAAATCAAACAAGAAAGAGCCGGAGCGCCCTTAAGAGGAGGGACTTATGATCGTGAAAGAGGCAGCTTTAACTGAACAAGAAACATTCCTCTTCAAATGTTATTACAACCGTGGTTGCTTCAAAAAAGTGTCCAGTCATTGCCAAGGGAGAAGCACTTTCGGCTTAGCACATTAAAAGTCCATTTGCACTCTGTCACATCTATCTCTGTTGAGAAGGCCGGGTTGCCATGGAAGCCTAACATCAGTTTCTGATTAACACATACACCATTCCAAGTGAGGCATGATCAGGTAATGTGATGACCATGTTTGTTTTTTCAGGAGACCTAGGCTCTGACAACAAACTACCATTCCCTTTTAAGGTAGGATGCTATCATTATCAATGGAAAGCAAGCTGTCACGAACAAAAGAAGGAAGTGGGCATGTGCACAATTCACAAGATCAGAAGACCACCTAGTCATAAGGCCAGAAGGTAATAAAGGGACTGGGAAGAGGGCTGTGAGACCTGGAGTCTTAGCAAAGGCTGCCATATCTACAATGTTCAAAGTTGAAAAAATAGGAGAACATAGAAGGTGAAGGTTTCAACTCTGCAAAGGTCCTGAATGATCATGCCATTAAATAAATGACTAGATTCATTGACTGCCCTCAATGACTACAAGGCTCTGGCAAAGTGTAGTTTCAATCTATTAGGACGATAATATCTGGAGATCTCACAGGCCATACTATTGGCAGCTACAATTCACACAGGGAAAAGTCTGCGTGGAAATAAAGAGCAGAGGTAAAGAGCTCAGACATGGAAGATAGAGAGTTAACAGGAAGACCAAAAAGTGGTTAAATGACATCTATAGCATAAAGACAGTCCCATCTAGGAGCATCCTCAGCTTGTCAGGATAGGAAAAGATCTAGCAACCCAAAGAAGGGGCTCATCTGCTCTTCACAAGATAACCAGCTGTGGAACATATCACGGGACCAGGTAAAAAGAAGATATTCAAATAAAAGGTTTCCAAATTTTAGTTAAAGTCACAGAAAATCCCCAGAGTTTTTCGGAAATTAGGCAGAAATGATGTCAGTCTACCACACTAGCCTTCTATGAGGTGCTGTGACAGGGTCTGATTGGACAACTTTGACATAAACTTGCATGCTCAGTGCTTGCTCAGCAGAAGGCAGTGACAAAGTATTTCCCCATTGGTAACAACCACACTGTCTGTTCTTTCTGGATTTACACATGTGAACGTGATTGGTATAATCTGTGCATGCACTCCAGACATAATATGGACAACAGGTACCATTATCTCTCAAGTAAAACAATCTGGAAGACAGATAATATACAAAACCAAATGCACTGTACATACAAGACATACAACATAAAGTCCACATTCATTGTCAAAAGACTCAAAATCATAAATTAATTTTAAGATTATAATCAGTAAGATTAAGATATTCTCAGCAGAGCTTCTGCCATTGGATGCTGGCCTCCTTAGTTCTTGACAGGGAGAAGTCGAACATAACTGCTAACTACACTATCTGCTACAATAAGAAATCAATAGATTTGAAGATTTTGTTAAAATTGTTTCAGGGCAAAGACACAGTGCAGAGACAACAAATATGTTGAATGTGAACATTGGTCTTGCTTGCAGGGAGACTATATTAACAAACCAAAAACCAACAAGGGAGAAAAAAAAAGAGCACTGCTTTTGCAGATGACAATGTTAACGTCTGTTCAGAAAAACATATTCCACGGAGAGATTTCAAAATTTGGCGGAAATACAATCAGTGTCAGTTTTATTCACTTCACAGCGAGCACTTTGCTCAATAGAGTACTTTCGAGGGAGGAAAAGAATCTGCTCAATGGTGTACAAAAAAATGAAATGTTTCGAACTGTTACTGTTCCCTATGAGTTTCCATTTTATGCACTGCAGTTGCAGAGTGCACAAAGAAAACAGAGCTGCAGCTTAAAACTTCATGCTGAGCTTGAGTTCTACATACGTCTGCAGTCATTCTCTCCTTCTCACTTCTAACTCTGTCCCACATAAAGGGATAAAGGAAATTTTGAAGACTTTATAGATTTTTTAAAAGCTTTTCAGATCACTAAGCTCCCTAGATAACAACACAAAGAGAAAAACAGAATCTAAAAAGTAATTATAGCATTAGAAGCACTTCTCTTGTTTCTGGTAAAAAAAACTGTTTGACTGTTGGTCAGTAAAAAAGGCAATACAACAATGAAATCTTTTCCTTTTTCAAAATTCCTTTTAATTTACCAAGAAACGATGCAACCTCTTATTACATTTTTCTCACACAGGAAAGAAGCAAGTGAAGGAAGAAGAAAAGAGCTCAGTATGCAATCTATTTTATTTTTTTCCTAGCCCTAACTACATTAAGACGGATTTTGAAAATATTTTCTATCTGCTCTTTATCACCTGCCGCTGGTGAGGATGCACCAAATCACACCACTGACCATGACAACAGGCTTCATTTACTCCCAAGCTGATGAATTGTTCGGTGCTTTTGAGTGAGAACTTTTGCACTTCTCAATCAATTTGTTAAGTGCCAACTCATAAATCATTCTGCCAATCAGCATGGTCTTATCTGCGCCTGTGCATTGCAAAGCAATGACACTGTTCTAAGGATTTGATGAAGCCTCATTATGCTGCCATATTGAAGCAAGGATTCCAAGATGAACACTTGAGCCTTTCTGCACTATCCCAGATGCCAAGAATGTTAGAAACCCACTCAAGTGTTGCAAATTGAATCAAATTGTGGGGTTGGTTGAAGATGTGTTGATAGTTGTGGGGGCTGGTTGAAGATATAGGAGATAATAAAGGACAGACATCTGAATCTTTATCTTCACTTTCAGATTTTAATTTTGATCAATACCTTTCGCTGACTGCAGAAAAGTGAAACTCACTAGCAGGTAATAACGATTAATAAGGTTACCAAATAAGGAAAACTTACCACTCCTATTCCTTCGAAAGCAAATATTGCTGTTCCAAAGAAAAAGGGATATTTTTTCCAACTGGATACATAAGGAAGTCTGCGAGGATCCCCAACATCCTATAAAAAGTACAAAACGAAAGTAAAAACCTATTTTTAGAGCATCTACTGTATACCCAGGATGGGCAATTTGAATCCATTCTTCTTTAAATACAGTATGCCACAGTCAGCAAATCTTAAAACACATACTGAGGAAATGTATTATTGGCTGATTTTTGTTTAAATTGCTAACTTAAATGTATAGATTTAAGGGGTTCAATACAACAGTCTATATATCAGTTTCTTGAAGAAAGTGTTGTATGGTCCAAAATTTACTATTACTCTGTGAGCAACATCGGGCCATTTTTTTGTCAATTCCAGTCGTGTACAAATGAATCAATCATTGATTAAAAACTGACACCTCAATGGAGTCAAATTAAATCTGGGATATAAACAGACCTGATGTGAAATCATGAATGGCACAGCTCTTTCCCTTGTGGAAAGTGTCCATTGTTAAGCGACAGCATTCTTAATTAATCCATTCATACATAATGCTGGAGTGTGATTGATGAGTCTGCTTCAAAAGGACACTCTGAACAATGGGTCAAGAACACAGGACAGGACTTACTAGGCCTCATTTATCTTTGGGACATGAAGCATCCACTCTGAGTAAAATAATTGTATCAAATATAATCTAAAAAATGCCTTTCTTTTTACTTCATGTATGGTAATTTTCACTCAGGCATGCCAAAGTGAAACAATATACTTATAAAATATAGAATCCTTATTACTTAATGCCATCTTTGTCCACCTGTTAACTGCTTTGAGATAAAAGTTAAAAAAATTACATACTGCACATACAAAAAGCCTGGTTAAAAAATAACCGCAAGTTCCAATTGCAAATGTCACCTCAGCAATAACGATTAACTGAGAGTTCTGTACGATAATTAGCTTTAATTTCATTAAGATGCACATACTAATTGTAAACTCAAAATGACCTTGAAAGTTTTTGAAATAAAAAACTTGGCCTGTGCATAAATAAAAACTCGCATTTGAATATATTAGCAATGCTGTCTATTCGAATTCCTGTGTGCCACGTCTTTACTATGAGGCAATAATTGTTTCAGCCTTGCACAGCAAAACAGCTGTAAGTCATCATTAAATATTTAGTGAAATGGAAGTTGTATCTTTCAGATTTAATGAACTGTAGTTTACACTGCAAAGTGAGAAATCTGAGTGATGCTCACAACACATGCTTTTAAACCAATACCTTAATCCGGTCAACCGGTCATTGAAACTTGTGGGTTCTTGGCAGGAATTAAAATGAAAAGACATAAAGTGGCCAAATCTTTGTTGCTACAGCATTGTTCTAGGGACTATGATATGCCTAAATGTACACAAAGCTAGGTCACTGGAGCATTAACTGTGTATGACTCTGTGTAGATAAGAAACCAAATCACAAAGGCTAATGCTCAGATCCTTAGACTGTGTTACCACCTGTCAGATCTGACTGTACTGTAGCTTGATTTAATCAAGTTAAAGAAGCTAAGTAGGACCGTGTCTTGTCAGTACTAAGATAGAAGCTACCAGGTTTCTGCTATTGTGTGGTGTTCGTGGACCAGTAGGTGGCACTATTCCCTCATGACCAAACCAATGACCCAGTATGGCGACAAGGGAGACTGTGCTGTAGAAGCTACCGTCCATCAGGTTAGACATAAAACAGAAATCCCGACTACTTTGTCACTAAAGATCACAACGTTTCTAAGAGTAGAGGTGTTAACCCTGCTGTCGTAGCTAAATAATAATAATAATAATAATAATAATAATAATAATAATAATAATAATAATTGCTTACACTTATATAGCACTTTTCTGGACACTCCACTCAAAGCTCTTTACAGGTAATGGGGACGCCCCTCCACCACCACCAATGTGCAGCCCCACCTGGATGATGCGACGGCAGCCATCGTGCACCAGAGCGCTTCCAACATATCAGCTATCAGTGGGGAGGAGAACAGAGTAATGAAGCCAATTCATAGATGGGGATTATTAGGAGGCTATGATTGGTAAAGGCCAATGGGAAATTTGGCCAGGACTCTAGGGTAACACCCCTACTCTTTTCGAGAAATGCCCTGGGATTTTTAATGACCACAGAGAGTCAGGACCTCGGTTTTACGTCTCATCCGAAGGACAGCGCCTGTTTACAGTATAGTGTCCCCGTCACTATAGTGGGGCATTAGGACCCACATGGACCGCAGGGTGAGCGCCCCCTGCTGGCCCCACTAACACCTCTTCCAGCAGCAACCTTAGTTTTTCCCAGGAGGTCTCCATCCAGGTACTGACCAGGTTCACACCTGCTTAGCTTCAGTGGGTTGCCAGTTGTGAGTTGCAGGGTGATATGGCTGCCGGCAAATTATATTCTGGGATTGTACAATCCCTAAACTTCCCCCTTAATTTAATTGGTCAAGTATGTTCTGACTTCCCCAACCGATTCTCTGTAGGTCTACTGGCGCATTATGTGAACTGCACATCACCCAGGTAGGTGCAAGACATGAATGATAGAGGGAGTGGGTCATCTCCTATGTGTGAAGCAATTTAGGATACTTTGGAATGAAAGGTGCTACACAATATGCAAGTATTCATTATTATTACTGCCTGAAGTAAAGATAAATATTACCCTCAGAATGTATTGGAATATGATGACCAGGCTGACTGCCATGCACAAGTTGGCCAGAAATGAGAGGATAGCCATGTTCTTCAGGTCACGGATGAACACAAGGAGGATAAAGAATGGCAGAAAGCACACCATGTAGACACGAAGGTCCAGCCCCCAGCACTCCTGTTGTGCAGGAGCAGTTTCATTGCCAAAAGATGGAGGAATCTCTGTAACGTTCTTACAGTAGCCTTCAACAACCTATAAACAGGTGACGTAGAGTGAGAAAAAACAAATAAAAGTGAATAAGAAAGAAATGAAGTTCAATAACAAATTGCAAAGACTATTTATGTTCAGAAATTATATTTACACCACTTCTTTTACACCAACACAAAATGTTACCAAATCTGTCAAAAAATACTGAAATGAAAAAAGGCTTCTACAAGACCAAAGCTGTGGAGTAAAGTGTTTAAATTCTCTCTGCAATTTCTGGTTTGTTGTCTACAGGTTAAAGTAGAATACCTTTAGGCACTCCATCAGCTTCTAAATAAGAAGCACTAACACTTCTAATTTAAGTGTGTTGAAAAACAGAGTACAAGCTTAAGCAAAAATGAAGCAACATTTAAGGCAAATGAATGTAATCAAACATGAAACACAGATATAAAAAACAATAGAAAATGTAAATGTAATTACAGATCAAACAATCATGATACCTTTTCAGTATGAGATTTAACAGTCAAAGTCAGATCAATACAAAGTTAGTATGACCCATTATCTCCTAGAACATTAACACAATCCTAGCAGCCTTGAAGCATGGACAATATCAGCCTCTGGGAAGACTGCTGTGGTATTTTCCTCCAGACTTACTGTGTAACTGTAGCCCATTAAAGTGTTGGTGGCCAGTTGTGTTATTTTTTTGCTAATTGCATTAGATATTTGGTTCCAGAAATGTTGTTTTGAACTTTGGTCAGGAGCAAAGCACAGCCACAGCTAGATCTATTAGCAACTAACAACCTAATAAGCTTGAAGGGCTGAATGTTCTCTCTCCCTTTTTGCGGACTTTCCTGTGTTCTTAGTGACTGCTCTTATGTTCTAAGCCCTTAAGAATGTTTAGTTGAAGTTATGCCAAAGTAACCCTAAAAATGCCTGCTCTTGTACTACACTGCTAGAAAATCAGCACTTCTGAATTAATGGAAGGATCAGAAAAATTGTTGGGTTATAGACTTTGTCAATTGATTTCCAAACAGTAAGGTCACACTAAACCTCCACTCCACTTGTGTAAAAGAGTTCCATCTTGACATCATCACATTCTACTGCCCTACAAGTTGGTTTGAACCACATTATGCTCAAAATGTGTGTGGAGACATCATCTTCCAATAGGTCTGTCAAAGGCAAAATGCCACTGGACAAAACAAACTAACTGGAGAATAAAACACTACAACTACACTACTCTCTTCCTCCATCTCTGATATCCTCTGGTCCACAAAAGGCAGTGATTTAGACACTCAACTGTCAACATGTTGCCACTGAATGAGCTGACGGATCACTTTTATTGTAATAGTGGCTTAAAGTCATTCTGCTGACACGCAGGTTATTTTGCTCTGGAATTTCACATGCTATATGTGTGAAGCAGCTGTGCAGTCGTGAAAAAACAATTATGCTGGAAGATCAGATGGATGTGATGGTCCACTGTGATAACCCCCTGACTTCCAACATATTTTCCCATTTCTCTGAATTATTCCTCTGTTTGATAAAGCATTGTTCCTGCCAATGTTTCTCACAGACAGGTCATCTTCAATCATGCACATAACAACCTTGATTTGAGCATGGTCATATCTTACGCTGTTTTTACATTTATTTAAATCATGACCCTTTTAAAGGGTATTTATATGGATTCAAATAATCTAATTTAGACTATTTTAATTCAGTTCCCAAACATTTATTCTGAACATCATTGCCCATTCATTGTGTATATATTTTGCTCTGATACTGTAGCTGTCATACAGGCCTGTGTTTCTTGAAAAAATGCTGAAACTCCGGTGACTCCGAAGTGCAGCACTTATCAGAAAAAGGGATCTCGCACTAGAAATGCACAATATAAAAAATAAGTGCACACAATAAAAAGAAGCACACACTATAAAAAGGAGTGCACACTAGTGAAAGTTAACACGCTAAAAAAGGGAACACACACACTAGCCACTGGAAGAGGAGTCAGTGGGGCCAGCAGGGGGTGCTCGTCATGCGGTCTATGTGGGTCCTAATGCCCCAGTAGAGGTCCTGACCCTCTGTGGTCATACAAAAATCCCAGGGTGTTTCTTGAAAAGAGTAGGGGTCTTACCCTGGCATCCTGGCCAAATTTCCCATTGGCCTTTACCAATCATGGCCTCCTAATAATCCTAACTTATGAATCGGCTTCATCACTCTGTTCTCCTCCTTAATGCTAGCTGATGTGTGGTGAGCACACTGGTGCATCATCCAGGTGGGGGCTACACATTGGTGATGGTGAAAGAGGAGTTCCCATTACCTGTAAAGTTCTTTGAGTGGAGTGTCCAGAAGAGCCTTATACAAGTGTAAGAAATTATTATTATTAACTAGGAAAAGACCATGTACACTATAAAAAAGGAGTGCATACTATAAAAAATAGTAAACACAAACTAGAAGCAGGAGCACTCAATAACAATTATGGTGTGCACTCCCTCTTCTAGTGTGCTCTTCTGTTTACAGTGTCTGTTCCTTTTCTTAGTGTTTGCTGCACTTTGGCGCCACCATATGAAACACCATCGATTGCTTCTTTAAATAACAAAATTATCTAAATGACTAACATCTTATCACATTTAATGCATTTAAGCCACAGAAATAATAAAAACATAAACACATAACATTTATCGATGCACAATTGTGCCATATACAGTCTATACGATGTATAGTATACTAAATACTGTATATACTGTTAGAAAAGAACTAAATACTTTCAACTACCTCAAGATGCCTCCAAACCTCTGCTTGAAATTTTTACAAAATGTATCAATCTCAACATTTGTTCAGTAAGTTAAGTAATGCTGAAAATACAGTGCAATGTATTAGAATACCTTCCTTTAGCAAGGATGGAAAAAAGACATGGTTTTGTACTTAACCTCAAGGAACATCGTGAGATTAAACACCAGTCTCCTGTAGGCAAGCTATAATTTGAGCTAGAGAATGTTTAGACAATTTAAATGGTTTTAATTGATTATTTTGCTTTGCCTTTGTTTATTCTAATCAAAACATCAAATAAATGAACAAACACAACGATATCTGGTTTACAGTATTTAAACTCCGGAGCTCCATCAGATTTCTGTTTTTGTTTATTTTCATAACAGATTTTAATAGGATCTTTTAAAGTGTGTAAACACTATTAAACAATCAAGGACTTCGCATTTAATAGACATACTGAACAAAATACTCAATCATGGCACAGTCATTCATTAAAATGCTAAATTATCTGCATATTTCCAGCACATTTTAAATCAGACAAATGACCCTGAAATTGTCTTTCACTATAATCCAAGAATTTATAAGCACAGAAAAAACAGCATTAATACACAATGTTGGAGTATATCTAAACTTGCAAAAAAGAAAAAAGAAACCATGTTTTAGTAAGGTGCTTTCACTACATTCTGAAAGCAGATTAAAGCTTCCAGTCAGTGACACAGATATTGTCTAATCCAGAAGCAATAGCTCCCTCTTGAGAAACCTCCAGAGAATTAAACCTGAACAGTTAAGAAGGCTGTGATATAAGGGAACGGAAAATTCAAAATACTAATTCAGAGGGTTTTTTTCCAATAACCGTGTACTATAATTAAAAGGGATTAATTGTTAAAGATTATTATACAATATATAATATACAATATATATTATACAATATATAATATTAATTTAAAAGCGGGGACTGGTAGTTAAAACAAAGTAACAGTTGTGATTCTCAAATATTTTACATTGATAAGTAATGATATCAAGCAATTCTAAGCAAGATTCTAAGCAATCGAAAATAATTGAACCAGAATCACTAGTTAACTGCATGTGTCAGTGCTCTATCCTCTTGATAACAATGATCACTCCATAATCATTTAGTGAACAATCTTTTATTACATTCACACGCAGGAGTCTTTCTGCATTGTACCAGGAACCTGTTTGTCAAAATCTCTACCTAAACTTCAACTGTCAACTGGAACTTTAGTAAAAAAGTTAAACTGGTGATTTCCCAGGGGTTCGCAGATGTATACATTTTTACTTTATATAAATAGCACTCAAATCTAGTTTAAAAACATTGGAAAGAAATAATACAAGGTTTTAATCAAGATTCATGCATCAATCTTATTTAAAACACATACTAACACTTTTAAGTACATGAGCATAATGGAAATCATTATATGGAAATATTCCCTATATTTTGCTAATTTTTGAAGACATATTTCTAGGTTTTACAAAATGGTGCTGGAATGTAAAAGATACTGTGAATTTAATTTCTAGACTCATTCTTCTTGATCTCAGGGCTGCTTTTGACACTGTTGACCATGACATCTTACTTTCTCGTCTTGAAACTGTGTTTGGAGAAAATGGTTCAGGTCTCACCTCACTGATCGCTGTCACTTTGTCTCTCTTAATGGGTATAGGACTGAAATTGGTCTTGCTACAGTAAGTCTAGTGTTCCTCAGGGCTTAATACTGGGCCCCTTGCTTTAGAGCATTTACATGTTTCCACTTGGTCAGCTTTTAAGATCACATGGCCTCAGCTTTCATTTTTATGCTAATGATGCTCAAATATACATCCATACCAAACCTGACACTGATGTGGCTGTCTCTATTCTATCTAATTGCATCTCTGACATAAAAACTTGGATGATTCAAAATGTCCTTAATCTTAACTGCGATAAGACTGATGTCATACTTATTGGGAACCCCCTTGAAACTTTGTAAAGCCAATCCTGTAATCCTATCTGTCGATGGTTTTGTACCTGAGCTTCAGTCTAAATTAAAAAACCTTGGAGTGGTATTCGATTCTGGCTTAACATTCACATACACATGTGCAGCATATTGCCAAAACATCTTTTTTTCACCTCAGACATATCACTAGACTACGCCCTATGTTATCACTAACTGTGGCTGAAAAGCTGATCAACACATTTGTGTTATCCTAAATTGTTTCTAAATCTACATTGAACAAACTGCAGTATGTCCAAAATTCAGCAGGCAGAATCCTGACCAGGTCTAGTGCAAGTGATCACATTACTCCTATCCTAGAGTCCTTGCACTGGCTTCCTGTCAAATTCTTAGTGGACTTTAAAATCCTATCCTAAGGACTTTTAAAGTCCTTAGTGGACTTTAAAATCCTGTCTGAACTATTATTGCCTTACTCCCCACCTCACAACCTTCGCTTTTCTAATTCTCCTAACTGTCCCCTAAGCCTGTCTACATTCTATGGGTGACAGGGCCTTCTCCTGTTATGCCCCCAAGCTCTGCAACTCTCTCCCCAGGATATCAGAGAGTCACCTTCTCTAATCTCCTTCAAATCCAGACTCAAAACCTTCTTCTTTAGAAGAGCTTTTACTTACCTGGTTCCATTCTTTAACCTTCTGCTCCTACTATACTTAATACCACCATCCACGGTCTCCCCTGTTTATTGTAATTGTGTTTTATCTTTTTTATTGTGTTTTAATTCTTTTATTGTTGTTGTCATTCTGTAAAGTGCTTTGAAAAGCCACCTTTAAAGGCACTACATAAAATAAAGTTATTATTATTATATAACTCCACAAATATCATTGATACAGTATAATAAAAGCTTGAAACATCCAGCTCCTGAGCCTAAAAACCAGGAATGACTCAAGAAGCTGCACAAAACAGCCTATTCTTTTTATTTTTTCTTGCTATTTTCACAAAATCGACTGCAGATTCTAACAAAGCACTGTGAAACTTTTTGTAATTTCACAGACGTTAATGTCATGCATTACTGAGCAGAACAATGCCAAAAAATAATGTAGAGGGAACAATACCTGTTTGATATTCTCTGCCAGAAAAACAAAGTACACACTGCAGAACCCCAGTTGTGTCAACACAAGAAAAAAGCTAACTAAGTGCCTAAGGAAAAGAAAGTACAATTACCAACATTTCACAAATCACGGCAATAAAGAAGAATCTTGAAAACAGCTGTTAGCTAAAGCATAAATTGTAAATAGGGAAATTGGACTTCAGGCTTTGTGTAAGAGTTGATCAAAAGAAATAATGGCATTACTAAATTCATTCAGATGTTGTAGAGACAATAATTGGAGGCTTTTAAAACCTAACTATTCTGGAAATTAGGGTCATGTAGAGGTAAGGATGCATGCTTTATAAATAAATGGTTTTATGAGGTAGACTAGTTAAGACGTTCTTTAAAAAATAAGAGGGAACCAAGAAAAAATTGTTTAAAGTAGTCATATTCTTGCAACAAAAATAATTTTAGATTTGTACCTCACCTTCCAAAATTGGAAGCATTTCTAAAACACTTCAGAGAAGAATGTTCCAATGCAAGAGCTACAGTGTCACTGTAGCCTAAATGGTGTCTTTTCAATCTGTAAAAATAGAAATACAGTAAAAATAGGAATACAAATTGTATAGAGTTAAATGTTTACTGAAAGCTAAAGACACATTGTATTGATTTTTTAATGAATAACTTGCAAATTTATCTAATTCTAATGTCTATTCAATATACTCTTAGGTGCAGTCGCCATTTCCACTCTAACAACAAGCTATTGATATTCTGTTTAAATTATAATGGTGACTAATTTGCTCCAAATGGAATTCATTTGATTTTTTCCTTGGCAGTGATGACCCTTTTTTGTTTCGCATTTTTTCCAGCCAATTAATAATCAAGAACAATATAAACACGTATTGACATTTTCAAAATTGTAATCCCAAATTGCTCTCATAACATTAGCCCCCACCCCCCCACCCCGTAGAACAAAAACTCATAAATTAACTTGGCTTGACAGCAATGGCCCTCGTAACAATCCAGAGGATTGGTAATGGGGGACTGAAAAGGTCCTCCATTCAAAAAACATTTGTGTCCCACAGGGCCTACACCAGCATTAATGACTGGAGTAGCGATTTGGCTCTTAAAAAGAGCACCTAGTCACAGAGGTTATTTTCATGGGGCAAATGGATATCATATCCAAACCCAACAGCCCTTGACAAATTGTGCAGCCCTATGTGGGGAATCCCCTTTCCAATTGATTTATAACACTGCATTGTGATAACTGGACTATAACATACAATACCTGCCAAACCTTGGAGCAAAATTTTGAGGAGGGAGATCAAATCATACATTTTAGATTAGTGATTGTTTCATGATATCACTTATCTTAAATACTTGTAGTTTATTGTCATTTTATACCACTTTGTGATTCCAGATGATAATGAGAAAAACAATATCATACAAAGTCGCTTTAATTTAATACCAAATATACACAATTACAAATCTCAGTTGCGATTCTGGTTTAAGGATTGTTGTAAATCGGTAGAACTGTTTGAGCAGTATATCCAATAGTGAGGCCTTCAAAAGTGAATATTCAGCACACACATTTTTTGCTTCTGTTTAGGACTCTTGTTCATTCTGGGGCTCTTACCCAGAAGTGGGTTAAACTAGTTAGTGATGGAGGTTAAAAGGTTGGTAGGGGGTAAATGTATGCAATGCACAGCTGGTAGCCTATTTCCAGAAATAGAAGAGTTGATATACATGATATTATAGAGCTCAACCCGCACTGCAAGTAAGCAACATTATTGGTTGAGCTACTCAGCGGCCCCAGTTATAATAAAACCAGAGAGGTCTGCCACAAGCGGTTATTAAGCTGATGAGAGGGTCTTAAATGACATTCTACTTTCTTATTACAAAATAATCCTTTTGAAGAGTTAGTGGATACTGAAATGCTAAGTCTAGACATTTCAAATATGTTAGCGGCTTGCTTCATAAAGCCAGATTAGACTTCTGTAGGAAACCTTGCTTTATCAAGGCAAAGTAATCCTGAATTTTAATTTGGAGACTGAGCAACCATCGGAAAAGTCAAATGTTCATGAACAACAGCTAGTTCCTATTCCTCCTGTATTGCCTGTACTCTTTCTTAAAACAGGATACATGCAATTTTTAAATGTATTGTTTAAAATATTGTATAGTTTGTAAAAATAAAAGAAAATTATAATAAAAGTAAGAAAAATAAAAATAATAATTATGCAATTATCCTTTGAGGTTATTTGTTGCTCTTGCCAGTAAGCACATTAAAAACAAGGTTTTACAAGGTTTTACAAAAGAGACCATTCATGATATTTTTAGGTCATTATTATATATGCAGTGCATGGGTGATATAAGACAAAATTAGACTTAATTAAATTGTGTAAATTAAACAGCTTCCGACAGACAAAAAAATATAATTTAACACAGCTCAAATGGTTTTCTGTATTTGCTTTTGTGTATCCATTTGTATATTTAATTAAGTGCTGTGCCAAAAGCTTTTAAATATTGATTGCATACATTTTACATATAGATTGCAATCTAGAGCCTTTTCATCATTTCAAGTGCACTGCAGCTGGCAAATTACAAACACCCTTGCAGACCGACTGTAAATGTATCATAATTATCACCCTACAATACTGCACAGCACTCCATCCTGTTCCCTTACGTTTAATTGTATTTATTACCTGAGATAAAAGTAAAATAAAGCTTACAACATTTGTAAACATCATTGTATTAAGTTGCTAACTCATTCCACTGGCAAATTGTATCATGTTTTTGTCACTGTTCACCCCTACAAATTATAGCAACATTATAAACTGCATATCCTACCAGAACTTCAAAATTACCATCCAGCTGGATAACACTACATTGAATGGGCAGGCAGCTGAAGTTAACATGAGCACACATTGGCCAACCAAAGTGTAAGAACTTGTGCTTTTCAGCTATAATCATACACTACTTAGTCTTATATTATTGCATGGGAGTTCTAGGGTACCATTTTGCTAACAGTAAATTAAATTATTTGATTTAACAGAAATGTTCAATGGCACATTGTTTTCATCCATAATGTTAAAAGAAACATAAAATGGAGGGATCACAGCCATGCATGCGATACAATGAAACATTCCCCTGTAAATTGATGCTTAAGGAACAGGATACACATCCTAAAGAAGGTACATTATCATCTGAACCAGCCTTACCTCCCTAATCACTCTTATCATCCACTCTGGAATAAAAATCAGCTTATGGTCTGTCTAGTTTGGCTAGGTATTCCCTAGTAACAGACATAAATGGCCTTAGCTTAAAAGAACAAAAAAGACTGTATCTGTCTGTTACTTTATATGGTGGGTATAGCAGGTTTAAATCTGTGGTCTATCTTAATTTGTGGGATGATCTACATAGTGTAGTAGAAAAAGAAGTGAAAAAATAGTTTTATCAAATGCATTTGCCTATGTTCGTGCCTTTGTTTGTCTTGCAGCTACAATGCATGCTTTGCAGGTTTTTCAGTGAGAAACCAAAACCGAAACTAGACTTCCTGCATAAACAGTGACACACCTCTCACAAAGGTAGTGGCTGCATCTGACCAGAATGTGCATACAATGGACTGCTACCACACCCATAAATATTAGGCTTATTGGTCCCACCTACAAAAGACACAAAAATAGAAAAAGTTAAGAGAAAGAGTTATACATGTATGACACACCCTGTCTGCTGAAGCTATATTTGTTGTGACATTATAAAGCAGAGTATACATTTACAGTACAACTTAGGAAATGTTGCCTTTAGAGATGTTAAATAGGACACTTAACATATATTGAATAATTGTGCTGAGCAATGAAACGAAGGGTTTTTGCTCTTTTCCAGGTTTTTTCTAAAGTTGCTTTTCACAGTTATTTCCTTGCTTTTTATTTAACACTCAGCCATTGTAGATGCTTATTTAAATATTTAAAAAATGCAGCTGTCATAATATAGAATTGTATTGTCACAATACGTTTGATAATATTTAGGAATAACAAAATATTACCAGAAATATTTAAAGCTATGAAAATAAAAATAAAAAGCAACACCATAAACAACAGAATGTTGAGACTTTACATACTACAGATACAAATAGATGAATATTTTTTTAATTTGCAAAAACATTGAGTTGTGAAAATGTGTATTTGAAATACTTTTTAGGTAAGCAAAACAAAAATACAGATAAATAATGTAACCTTCCTTTTATTACATAGTTGTGTAACAACTGAAAGTAATCACAAGACGTTATGTAACAGACAGGTATCAGTTTCAAGTCATTCATGTGATTTCAGAAAACAAAACACACAGAAGACTTCAAGACTGAAAAAAAAATGTTTTAGTTTAAGGTTTGAAGCTGAGTTTGTGAAGGCAGGTTAGCCTAATCTCAAACAGCTTGTAAACCTTCATTGAACCTTGAATTATTTATACAAATTCTAGATTTCATGCATTACCCAATGAGTTAATAAAAGGGGTTTTCAATTCTAGGTACAATATTTCCTTTCAAGATTTAATCAAAAGTTGAATTCAGATATCAAATTTGAACAACGATGTTAGTTTTCTGAGGAAATACAAATAAACGCATGGCCTAACAGCAGAGTGGGCAAGACAAGATTAACAGTAACAGTGTTTTTAAATGCACTTCGACACTGCCTTGCCCCTGGGAAACCTCCATTTTTGTCATGGTGATTGATATACAGTACCATTTTAGGATCTTTGATCTGTTGCATCTTTTAAAAAATTGCTTTTAACAATATTGCAATGAATAAGTAATCCACTGCATAAATGATACATTTAAATAATATCAGTAATAAAGTTATTACATTAATATAAATCCCTCAAATATTGTTTAAATTCATAGTTGTCTCTCCTTGATCATTTGCTACCTTGCAGTTTTTTATACAACTGTAAATGAGAAGCATAACATAAACAGTATTGCTCCATATAAAACACAATGAGGAGCCTGTCTGTGAAAACTAGTTTACTAATTACATTTCAATACCAAGCTTCTACTACATTCAGGAAACCCCACGCTTTAATTCTCTATGAGATCATTCTGAAATATGCATGTTGATACAATCAATGTTTTGTGCAAGACGAAACGTGGAGGGACCTACAGCAATATGTTCATTTGTTAACGGCACAATTTTACTGAATTTAGAGATGAAGCCTATTTTTTAACTGAATTTAGAGATTAAACCTATAGTTTAACAAATCTTCCTCTAAAGCAAAAAATAAATAAAATTGAGGACATTCCAGAACATTTGTTATTGCAATGGAATATTTTAACCCAGTTAATGAAAAAATTGATCTGACTAAGGATTTTGTCTATATTTTGTCTATAGCCGATTGCTTTATCGGACAACATTCGTCTACAGTAGCAGAAGTGTATCTCTGTTCATACAGATAAGACGAATAGACCACTTGGCAGACTTGACAGAATTAGTTCTTAGCATAAGTTTTGACAAACTATACCGCATGGATGGCAGGATAGCCTGAGGTCAGGAAATGAATTCTTAAAATGACAAAGTCTTGTGGTACAAAACTTATTATTACTTAAAATATTCAGATACAAACTTTAAAAAGCCTTGATTGCTCATGAAATCTTCTACATTTCAAATCAATAATTTCTTCAGAAGACAATTTTCAAAGGGTTTTCAAATATGCATCGCAGGCCACCATTGTGATTGATGAAAGACCCCAATTTTTAGCATAAATGTAATGGCTTATACAGTCTATCGCAGTATACATGCCTAGTATGAGGGTGCTAGGCTGCTTGTTCTCCAAACGCATGAAGAACATAGAAAAGCATAAAAACAAGAGGGGGCCATTCAGACCATCTTACTGCAACTACAGTAGTTTTGTTGCTAGCAGCTGTGATTCAAGGATTTCCTCTGGCTGCTTTGTGGAAGAAGTTAACTGGAATTGTTAGGTTAACTGTCAGCGTAGGTGAAAGTGGAACAATAATAGGTTTATTCCATGCTGAAAAAAAGAAGAAAGAAAACACAACGTTTTGGCTGTGGGGCCTTCTTCAGGTGTCACCCACATCCCCACGGCCGAAACGTTGTGTTTTCTTTCTTCTTTTTTTCAGCGTGGAATAAACCTATTACTTGTTCCTTTGCAGCCTACGCATCCTGACGCAGCTACCCACCTATCAGTGTAGGTTATTTAAGACTCCAGAAACACAAGTAGATTCAAAAGCGGAAGAAAAGAATCTTTACAATCACTACAGACTTCCAGTAATCTGAAGATTAATTAACATTTACTTTAATGATTCAACATTCCCCAGTAGAGGCAGTTGTTTTGTGCCTAAAGTGAGTTCTCCTAAAGGGAGGTCTCCTAAAGGAAATAAGCAATTCCACTTATTTACAGTACTCCAGACTATTGATACATGTAATTATTCATCCTCATTTTAGCAACCACTGCGCATCTACCTACTCCATGCCAAGGCTATTATATTTGAACAGCATGTCAAATGTTAGGTACAGGACAGGGACTATGGATAAGATGAAATCTCCTGATTACAGCTCTTCACTACCAGTGACACCATAATCAGACTATATTCACATAGCTAGAGTAAGTTACATATTCACTGAGGTCAAAGTCACTGACCCAAAGTGTACACTCATACAGTACATACATAGTGCTTGCCTCTAAGCCTGAGGAAAAAAAATCTCCATTCCCAAGAGTAAAAGCAATAAACAGATACAGGGCACACTAAACCACCTACAGGGATATTTCTAGCTGATTGCTCTCTATGAGATTTTGTTTTGTGATCACTGGAGCTTTAGAAATTTGTCTCACAAAGAATCATTGCTTTCTGTTGCAAGTTCTGATTAAAACGGAAAGGCAACTTTTGTTGTATAAGGCAAGGGAAATACTTGTGCATGCTATGCTCTGGGTTAAATCTACTCTGAAAACTGGGTATTTCAGTTCAAAAAGATTACATTCGTGCTTCAGGGCGGGGAACTGAAATGAATGGAAGACAAGAAGCATTGTCAATGAGCTACTTGATAGACATGTTAGAGGTAAGCCCATTCCACCTTAAAAAAGCAGAAATGAAGAAATGTATTTGCAGCAATTCTGGGGAATACTGAGAGAATAATTACTAATAATTGTGAACTCAGTTGTCATGGGTTTGGCAATAGATTGTTTTCAGAGATTGTTTTCAATTTAGACACTGGTGAATCCAGCGAACTACATCTAACAAAGATACAAGGCAACACTTAAAATGATATCCTTAACCTTTACCAAGAAGAATGAAGAAAAAGAATAAAAACTATAATCACAAACCACTCAACTAATACACTCATGACCCGAAAAACCAATGCCTTGTCCTTTCTCCTGTGCTGCATGGAAATAATTAAACTTATGCATTAAAAATATATGTCTCATTAAAACAACCTTATAACCTTATTTCCTTATTTCCTTATATTTTTTCCACAGAAATTATCAGAGGAGAGAAATCAATAACCTTATTTCAGAAACATTTGGCTTGAGCTACACTGATGTAATGTCACTTTCTTATCTTGAAATCAGGAAAAGTATGTATGGGATAACATGAAAGTATGTAGATATGGTGCTGTATCATTCTCCTAAATGTCAGGCTTGCAACCAGCAATTTAAAGTGATCTTTCCAGACTTACCACAATCCCAGCATTTTTTAATGCAAGCGGAAGGCCTAGCAAGCCAGTTCCAATGTTCCCCTTCAATAGATGAATAAGAGTCTGTGAAAACCTACAAAAAATATTCAAAGCCACATTAGCCCCAAACCACATAAGAGGATGGTTCAATTGGGAATGTGCATAGTTTTATGCCAATTATAAAATAAAACTCAATAATCTGCAAATACTGTCTGAAGCTTACAAATCTTAATTAATAGCCCTAGTTATTTTACTGCACATCATCAATGCATAATTTCACTACGTTCTGTATTTCTTGAATTATCGACAACTCTTGAATTCACAGAGCCAAAACCCGATCTCTACTTTGGTGGGTCTGCAGATATCTGCAAAGTCCAATAGTCCCATCCACAGATAACACTAAACAGTACCCTTCTATAGTTCACAGAGCCAGCTAAGAATTAGGATAAAACATAATCTCAGGATCTAAACAAGAAAATTGCTTTCTCTTCAGAAACACCACATACAGTAGAAGAGCTCTACAGAGTGATACTACATCTCTGTTTTGAATTGTTAAAAACAATGAGCCATGTGGAAGCACAGCAGATTAATCTGTTAACTTTGCAGCCCTTTTTCCTCTGCTTTAAAACTCATTCAATTCTCATGTGAAACGAGCATCACATTAGCCTGCACACATCATTTCCCGTAATTCTCTTACACCAAGTCACACAGTAGCTTCAGACAGCCCTGGTATTAGATGGTCCTTAAAAGCACGTCATACAGGAAGAGCAGAAAATAACTTAAGCGCTTCAGCCTACAGCAAAGGCTTTGGGGAGATTTGTTCCAGCTTCATAAATCTTGAATGTGAAAGACAAAGTAAATCCTAACACTTTACTTTAGGCTCACCACAGATATGAGTATCACTGGGCAGAACCAGCAATTCAAAGGAATTAGTTTTTGAACTGAATACAGGATCTTCTTCATGAAGATTGTAGGGATGCACAGAGCAGAATGTCCAACCATGGATTTTGATTCACTGACAAGATAAGACTCCTGAATCAATCACAACTATTATCTTATCTTAGTACTTCAGTTCCTTTTCCTTTGTCTGCCGGAAACACCACACTAGTACATAAATATGTAATGTTTGTAGATTTAAATTTCATCTATAATTTTAATTATTTTATTCATTGAAAATAGGACACCATAAAGCAGTGGCCACTGATTATAAAGCTATTAAATCAACATGTTTTGTTATGTGTGCCTGATGTTTTGTTGTTCTTGAAATATGCACTGTTTCAACTCCTGAGAAATTATCTAAACTAAGCCACCAAAACCCCCAAGTCCCCTTTTCCCCACAGCACACATGGCACAAATATCAAAGACTAACAGTACTTACGTAATGCCCTGGTGATTATCAAGCTCATAATGCCTCTGTACTGGAACTAATTCAGGATCATGATCCTCATCTGAAATTTCTTCGGAACACTGGCCTGTTTCCTCAATAAGAGGAGCCATTACCTCCATATCTGTTAACACAAAACACCGGCAACATGTAACTCCTGAAGTGGGTCGTGACCTGCTTTCTTCTGAATTCAGAGATAATTAGATCTAAATGTTACCGGTTTTTCAAAGAGTCTGCATAAGACATTTTTAATTAAATAATCTACTCACGGTAAAGAAGAACTACACGATTGCGTAACTTAATTAGGTGTTATTTATCTGTCAAGCAAAATTAGTTTGCAAGTAGTGAATGGGTTTTTCTTATTAAGGGGGCCCATTTCAGCTTATGTGCTTCTTTTAAAATGAAACTATTAAAGTATGTAATTTGTTAGAATAAATTTGGGCAGAATACATATTCACAAAAGTCTAAAACAAGAGGTCAGCTAATAGCCCTTTTTCCAATTGCCCCTTAAGTTCTTATTTAAAATGACAGCATTGCATTATTTCTAGACTCATAACATACATAGTAAACCCCTTAAGCTGAAAGGGCTATCACAGTGTTTAGTAGCACGCAGTCACCACAGGAAGTTAGGAATTAGCCTTCTGCCATGTAACAGTTATGAGACACCAAAAAACAACAACAATAATAATAATCCCTTTTCAGAAACGTCTGGTGTTACGACACTCAGACATGATCAAAGTTCATATGAAGCCCATATACTTGCCACTAGATCTCCTCTAGTGACACGTTCAGCTATGCTATTCTAGTATTTAGCTCTGTATGCTGTTGCAACAAGATAACACAAATCATGACACACTTACATACAGATATACGACACATAGAGCATCAGAAATTCTTACCCCTTCCCGATTCATATTTGTAATGATCATAGCACACACTGATCAAACCTGAACTTTCTCTGCAACACCATTCACCATCAAAGCACCATATCAAATAAAGGCTCTTTCCCTCCAGGTATTTAATCACATAGCTCAAAATCAAAGCATGAACATATGGGTTTCTAAATACATTTGTAGCAAGCTACAGTATATCTGCCAAGTGAGCAACATACTGTAGATGAAATGGTCTCTTGTAACCTTTCTTATGATTATGTCTGCCTTGTACAAAAGTATTCCGTTTGAGCATTCAAGTTTTAATTAAAACATTCACTTTAAAAAGATGTGCACAGGTGGTGAATACATTTACAAGGCACTGTATATTATCATAGGTATAAAACTCTACGGAATATTTTGTAATCAGAAGTACAGTATCTGAAACTAACTTAATAAATGCAACAGCTGTGCAGATACGATTACATACACATTTGTTTTTTTTTTCCTTTGTGCGGAAACGTAATTCAATGGCGATCTACTGAACTTTAAGATAACAGTTAATCCTGAAAGATCTGTATTTTGTAGTACAGTACAAATAGAATACCAAATGGTATATTGGTACTGTATACCTGACGAGATAGACTAGTGTTTACACTTCACAGTAGCTGCAACTGTTTAGTTTACTTTGAGTTATTGTGATCAAATTTCTGAAGAATATGATCCATGCGACTTGAAGATTACTATATGAAAACCTTGGTTTCATCTTAAACTACATTGTCTTAATAAAAGTTGTTATAATAGTAGAAAACTCTAGTGGAGCCTTTGTAAACTGTTGATGTTCATTATTTACATCGACTGTAACTCCTGATCGTATCTAAAATGTGCAGAACATTTGCACAGCTATGCATATTTTAATCTGTCATTCACACATCATGCTAAGGAACAGCTTTTAATAAGATACTTCTTAAGGGGATGTTAAAATGTACATTTTGTGAATATTGCAGTTACGAGTCAACATGCAAATGATTTTTTTTGCAACTACAGTATAATGTGTCAACAGAGAGATACAAAGATAAATTCGTGCGCACGGTTAAGTTTTATCGGCCCAAGAAACTGGATTCACTTTCCTTTAATACGAATTCCAGCCCCCAAGAAAACGTCATCATTTACGATTACCTATCTGTTCCCTTGCTTCCATCTTCCGCTGGACATCTGTACCGTTTCCAATGTAGTCCTACGTTGTTTTACAACGCCAGTAGGCGTGATGGATGAGGTCCTTACTGAACTGAAGACAAACAGGAAAACATAAAAAAAAACACTCGGCCTGATGCTGTCATGTAGGGAAAATCCGTATAGAAAAATGGTAGAGGGTATCCTGAGTGTAATAAGTAAAGGCAGTGTAAACTGTTCATTATAAGCTCAGGAAAAAATCAGTGCTTCCGTATTTACACCAAAAATTAACGGGCTATAGATATGCGAAGCGCAATCTTTGCATGCTGAATGCATTTAGCATGACCTAGAAAAAAGCAGGGTGTATATATATATATTCAAAATAAACGTCTTTGTAGACAAAAGTATCTGTAAGGTGGAGGACAAGTCTGTTAAAACATCTTACGTCTACGTCTATATCAGGAAAGAACTAATGGGTTTTAATATTTGAAAGTGAAGAGTCCTACCAAAGTGGTGTTCTTCTGATGTGATTCAAATCAATGCATTGGTTTAAACTTCAAAATGCTCCGATTTGTGGCGAATGAATCCTCCGAAAAGCCTACTCTAACTCCGTTATGTACAATTAAAGTTCTCTACGAATAGATGGCTATTATTTAACATAGAAAGTTCCATTTGATTTGTGAAACTGCTCGCCGTTCGTGGATATAATTTGCCAGGTTGTAATTTTGTGGATTAAAAGGCAAGTGCAATGATGTTTTTCTGAGCCGACTTAAAATATTTAAAAGACACGCCTACTCAATTCAACCGGGAGACGTATTTCTTAAAGGAAACACGTGCTCTAAAATGTAAAACTGTTTCTGGCCCATGTGCTTGCATTGATAATATAAAATCAAATTGTCAAAGTAAAGACTTTGAAACACCGTGTTGTAACATTGTATTTTCTATTGTAATAAATATGTACCACTTTTAATATAATGGACATAAACTATTTACGATAAATGTTTCAAAACAACTAAACCATTGAATAAATAAACAACATACATTTTTTTACGAAGTCATAGTTCAGATGAGATTCTCCTGTTACTCATAGTGAGCATTTTACAGTACAATTATGTATTAGCCTCTTTAAATTTTGTGGGAGTGTGGGTGTGATTCTAAAACTGCCAAATAAATTGACGGTCATGAAATTAATGGCTAATGCCTAATATTATTGTAAATTAATGAAGTTTGGTGAAACTATTTTTCAATCAAATTCAGAGTTTTTTTTTCTTATGGTTGGACCATGGTTTCGTATTGCTTGTGGTCAAATAAGGTTTTAATGATTTTCCCACCTAAAGTAAAGTAATGCTACAGTACATGTACATGCTAATAAATTATACATTTGTATTGAATCATTTATTAATGATGCAAAATTATTATTACTTTGGATGCAAAATAATTTATATTCACATTTTTCAAATACCTTCAAACTTGGCCAATATGAGCAGCATTCTCTGTTGCTATTTTAATATATCCCTTGGGCATTGAATGCAAAACATGACTGTTTAAGCTCTCCACTATTACTATTTTTACAAGGTGTTGATGTAAAATGTTTCAATTGTACTTAACACAATACCCTTTACTTAAATATGTGTTGTTGTTATTTAAATTACAGAAAATGATTGAAAACAGGCAAGACAAAACATCAAAAACATCACAGCTTGTAAATACATAATGTAAGGGAGACAGCATGCAGTATATTCCATTTTCTGTTTAAAGTTTGTCCATTTCTAGGAAATCACTTACCGTAGGTCTCAAAATGTTAAAACAAATGTTAGATGACATTTGCACAGTGTTTTGCTCTCTTTTGTAGACTTGCCCTGTCACTGAAAGCCATTGTTTCTTACGTTGTTTCTTTACAGTTTTAAAATCAATTTCTTTTACAACACATTATACACCTTGCTTCACATTGTAAACCTGTAAGAACATCATACAAAATCAATGTATCAGAAAAAAAACACAGGTAAAATATACTCCATGTTCTAGGGATGCACAGAACAGTATATGACATATTTGATTATTGAAATAATACCTGAGTTTTAAAGTAAGTGTACTTTACATTTACATTTAGTGTAATGTAAGTATTGTTTACTTTACATTGTTAGATAACAGTTAACAATTCTGCAGGCATTGCTTAAGTTGGTTAACTGAAATTTTTAAAGTTCCGCATATGGATAGAAACTTTTTTGCAGATTAATTCATGGTTTGCAAATTAAAAAAAACACAAGCTAAGCTAAGCTTGGTTATTGTAAATAGATCTGAAAGATTCTGAAGTCAGTACAAATGACACTCTGCAGACTAATGCATGCATATTATTAGGATAGGGATATTGTGAGGAGAAAAGAGTTCAGTTGAATATGATTCTGAACTAGTTCAAGCAGAATTAATTCTTAAAAGATAATTCTACCCACTCAAGTCAAATGTATTTAGACTCAAAAGGTATTAATTCACAATTACGTTCCACTGTACTTCAAAGTAATGTACTGCAGTAAATTTGTATAAATATTAACCACAGTAAATTGCCACAATACTGAACTTTTAATTTTATAATAATACATTAGTTATCTTACCATTTCATTTTCTGTTTCAGCATTTTAAAGCAGTATATTGAGTTATTCTTGCCTTTGCCTTACTTAGCTTTTATTCCACTTTAATATTTTATTCCTGATCCACAAAACAGCCAAAGTACAGACCTTTTCTTGCATGCCTGAGATGTAATTGATTTTAAATGTATTTACATTTTTAAGTAAATTTATTTAAAGGATTCCTGAAAATGTATTAATAAGACACAGGTAGTTCTCACTTGAAAGTCTCTGGTGGATCAGAAAGAGAAGAAAAGAGTACAGTGTAACGAACAGTTATTTCCGGACCCTATGCAGACGACACAGAAGAAGTGGGGAAACACTAGGAAAACGTCATGCAGGGATATGGGGCTGAAAGCAGGGGGGCGTGTCCAAAGTGCGCTAGTGCACGGGGGAGGTGTGGCCGAGGCAAACAATCCAAAAGTAATCCATTGAGGGTATCCAAAAACACAAGAGAAATTCCATAGCCAGGTGATCCATCCAAACGCGGAATTAAAAACACGAACCGGGTCGGAACCGGCGGACTAGGAACGGGAACAGAGGTTAAAACCTTAACGGGACCAGGCGCTTCCAGGTCTCGGACTCGCATGGTGCGGAAACCAGATGCAGAGCCTGGATGAGCGTCAGTGCCTGGCTTTTAAGGTGGGCTGGGAAAAGGGGTCAGGTGCACAGAATTAAGTCTAAAGTGAAAGGGCTGGAGCACCCTTAAGGAGGAGGGACTATAATCGTGACATACAGCTTATTTTATTGAAGGAATACTCCCAACAAAATAAGAATTATGAACTCAATTCAAAAACAAAAAATATATATTTAAATAGGTGAAAAATGATGGAATAGGTATAGCAAAATCAGAATTTATTTTTTAACACTAGAGGACCTTGCATTGCTGGACAGTAAATAGTTTGAGTCTGAAACAGGGGTCTCCACTGCTTATCCTTATGAACCCCAATCAAGCTTATATATAAGCTTAAATTCTGTAGGTTATATAGTATATAGGTTACAAATAATTCACCAGTGTCTATGGACTTGAAACAATTTTGTGATTAGATTAATATATCATTTGTTAAATTATGTTAAACTTGTGGCCAGCAGTCATATCACCCTGCAACTCACAACTGGCAGCCCACTAAGCAGGTGTGAGCTTGGTCAGTACCTGGATTAGAGACCTCCTGGAAAAACTATGGTTGCTGCTGGAAGAGGTGTTAGTGAGGCCAGCAGGGGGCACTCACCTGTCTATACTGTCAAAAGGCGCTGTCCTTCAGATGAGATGTAAAACCGAGGTCCTGACTCTGTAAATTAATCCTGACTTTGATTCATTAAAAATCCCAGGGTGTTTCTTGAAAAAGAGTAGGGGGTGTAACCCCAGTGTCCTTGCCAAATTTCCCATTGGCCCTTACCAATCATGGGCTTCTGATATTTCCCATCTATGAATTTGCTTCATTACTCCTCCCTACTATCAGCTGATGTGTGGTGAGCGTTCTGGCACACTATGGCTGCCATTGCATCATCCAGGTGGATGCTGCACATTGGTAGTGGTGGAGGGGAGTCCCCATTACCTGTAAAACGCTTTGAATGGAGTATCCAGAAAAGCACTATATAAGTGTTAGCAATTATTTTTATTTAAATACCATTTGGGACCAAACTCTAAAACTCAAGGACCACCTGAGTTCCTTTAGTTGAACACGAGTACATGTTTGAGTTGAGTACATGTTTAATTCACTAATATTACACAGGGCTTCCCCAAGTCTAGAAGCAGGTGATTATACTAGTAAACAGATTAGGGGTCTCTTGGATAAGAATTGGAAACCCCTTTCTTATGTGTTGAATCTTTTTCATGAGGTTGTTCTGCTCTCCACTTAAATACAGAGTGTAAGATGTTTGGGCCCCTTTACATCAACAAATACTTTCTAATAACAGACACCTTTATTGTCTAGGCCTTGCAAAAGTTCAGAAATCACACTTTTGAATTTATAGATGAAGTATATTTCAAGACATACTTCAAATATCACCTGAAGAGACACTTGATCACTCACTTATAAGGGCCATTCAAAACTGCAATATGAGAAGTTCCTGTGGCAAAAGAGGATTTATAACCAAAAGAAGAAAACAGAATATAATGAACATGGAAGCAAATACTTGAAATATTATATGTGAAACACCGTTGTGTTGTATTTTAATCTGCATTTGAATTACTAATCTGGCCATTCATTATTTTGGATAAATGAATCATGCCAGTTTTCATTACTGGGAAATGGAACTGCACTGATGTTTTTTACAATGTGCTCTTTGCACAGTAAGTAATCTTTGCTACTTAATGCACCATTCTCATCACAACAAATGCACTGAGGAAAACTAATTATTTACTCTGTGACACATCAGAATTCCACAAATGTCTGTACATTTTTCCTTTCTCAAGAGGTAAACAAAAAATGGAATAAGAATTGATTAAAAAGTAATCATAATTGCAGGTGGAATCAGCAAATTATAATGAGCTAACCAGCCTCTCCCCTGAGATCAAACTGTCAGCACATACCAGTAAGTAGCACTGGGTGCGTTCTTCTTGGGTACCATTCTGTGCAAGGAAAATGTCATTTTTGTATCCCACACACACATAAATAATAATAGAAAAAATGGAATGTTCACTGGCTCAATTGGATTGATTTAGCTGAGAAAAAAATTATTTAGGAACAATATATTTTCAATTAATGGTCCCAACAAGGAATACTACTGAATTTAAATGCATTCCTTGCTTTGCATATAAAGTAACTGTATTTAAAATACTGTTTGTAAAACTGAGTAAAACAGTTTGTAAATGGTAATTCTTTACTAACAGATTTTATAAATGTGATTCATTTTCTTTGTATTATGCTGGAATAGTCATTTCCATTTTATTTCTTTTGCATTCGCATGTGCTTCTTGGCAGCCTATTCTCATAGGAAAACTGACCATTGTTTGGAGGAGACCTGTGGCAGAATACAGTGACAGGTGGTTGAATACCGCCTAGGGACAGATGCTCAGATGTATTTTTGCAAAGCAATCAACAATATTGTCAAATATGAAATGACTTATTATGTATAATGATAAACAATAAACCAATATTTTTGCATCGATAGCA